GAAGTCATAGAGAAAGCTGACTCTATTTCTCTTAGCATTTATGTACTCTCAGTAGTCCATGACTACTGGTGAGAATCTTGCCTTCTCTTCCCCATTCTAGGATTTGGTCTTGCTTGAGTTGCATGATTTCACAACTTCTCTAAATTCATATGTATCACTCTTCTGCTATGTCCAGAAATCATCACTTCTGATTCTTACATTATTTATGGCATCTCTTCTGTAATGATCCCTGAGCCTTGTGAAGAGAGGATTTGATTAATATGTCTAACATAGGGCTAAACATTTTACAAGCTCTTATTGTATTTACCTTGGCCAGTTGCTGATCTCTGTATTAATCACCATCAATGGTTAAAGAAACTTTTCTGATGAGGATTGAGGCTTGTATTAGTCTATTTTTATGATAATAAATCATAAGTATTCCATTTATCATATTTCCCATTTATCAGAACGGTAAGTATAGACCCTTCTTTAGGATCTTTAACCTAACTTAAGTTCCTATGCCAAATAATAGTACCAGATATGTATTTCATAAAGATAAATCCAGTAAGAAAGCTACCGGTTCCTCCTATGATCCTAGGGCCACTATTGCATCAGTTAGCATGTCTTAGAGGCCAGTTGTTACTGTAGCTGGCAGGGATCACAGCTAGTTAAGATTGGTAATTTTCTCTTCCTATACTATGAATAACACCTTCCAGTACTTTCATAGCTAGCTAGCAGGGAAGAAGCTTCCAGTTCATCACCAGCTTGATTTCTCCATGTTCTTGACTCCAGTATGCACTGCCTTCAGCAATAAGGTATTACAGAACAGTAAGTTCTGGAGGTTAAACAGTAGCATTGACAGAGACTGTGATGTTTTGGAGTGTATGAGATGTTATACTCCAACGTTGCCCTCCCATTTCCACCCCAGTTTTGCACTTCCTGTTCCATTATTTCCCTTTAATCATCTATACCACTGTGTCCTAGCCTCCTTTCCTTAAAAGCCACCATCGACAATGACTACTTGCTAACTTCTAGAGCTCTATAGGTATTCCAAATGAAGCATACAAATCTGAATATTCAAAGCTAAAATATATCAATGGAATAATACATGAGAAATTTGTCTTTTTGAGTCTGGATTATCTCACTCAGAATAATTTTTTCTAGTTCCATAAACTTTCCTTCTGATTTTTTTTTAGCAGTTGAGTAATATTCCATTGTGTAAATATACCACACTTTCATTCTTTATACTTAGTTTATGGGCATCCAGGATGAATACAGTAGCAATGAACACAGAAGTGCAGGCATTTCTAGAACAGGCTGTAGTCTCTTTTATTATCTACTCAGGGATACTATAGTTGGATCATATGGAAGATATATTGGTGTGCAAAGTCCTTCTGTATATGTGTTGATTTTATTGTTTGATAAATCAAGCTGTTTTGACCAATGGATTAACAGAGTAAAGATAGGCAGGAAATCCAAACAGAGATACATAGAGAGAGTGGATAGAGTCAAAGAGGCACCATATAGCTGCCAAAGGAGAAAGGCACCAGAAAGATTATTAGAAATGGGTTAATTTAAGATGTAAGAACTAGTTAGAAAGACACTTAAGCTATTGACCAAACAGTGTTGTAATTAATATAGTTTTTGCATAATTATTCGGACTGGGAAGTCAATAAACAAATGAGAAATCCTTGTTTACAATATATTTCCAACTCTTTGATAAACCTCCACCCTCCACATTGATTCTTAATGAGGTAAACCAAACACAGAAAGAAAACACATTTGTAGACACTAGCTTTGAATTGTTAAGTGTGTGTTTAGAGTATCAATACATGTCAGAAAATCAGCAATTTACTATGTGAGATAATTTAAGGGAAGTGAAATTTAATGTAAATAGTTTGAAGGTTAAAGGGAAATAATGGAACAGGAAGGTAAAAATAGATTGGTGTATAAGAGAACAAGGTAGAAGAGGAAGAATGGAAAGAGGTAACTAAAATAAAGACTTTGAACATGTCCTCTGGAAATGATTAACTGTAGAAACTTATTATAATATACACTGGGGATACCTAAGGAGAAAAATGGGTAAATAAAAGACCTAGAAAACTGAGATGAATGATATATTATAGACATGGGATAAGTGTTGTGCACATGAATTCAGAGAGGCTGTCATTATATACACAACTTCTGTGCAAGATAAAGGCACCATATAGGATAGATAGACGTCAAAATGCCAACCTTTGCTGATGAGTTATTGGGAAGTGATAGCTTTTGGGGAATGAGAGTCATATTTCTTTAGGTCTGTGGCAATATGTAATTCGTCATACACCAGTGTATATGATACTACACTCTCACCTTTATGGGTGGCACTAATACTGTACTCAGTGGCAACAAAATACACATATAAATTATGATAAAAGAGGGGCATGAAGTTGCAACAAATGAGGATGTTATGGTGTTGTGAGGAGTAGGAACAGGGCAGGAATGTATGAGTGTGGTCAAGCTACATTACATATCTGAATGAAAATTTCAAAACACAGGCTAAATTTTTAAAAAGAATGTGAATTTCCATATTATATTCAGGTGATTATAAAAGAAGAACCAAAGTGAGCCGAAGGATAGTCATGAAAGAAGTGCATGTGTGAACAAAATCTTTGCCCAGTGTTTCATGGCTTCACTGCTTTGAACTGCAGACTTCTTTAATTTTCAATGTTTTCTATTTGATTATATAAGGGGATTTAAATGCAAGTATATAAATATACTTTGGACACATTTTGCCTCAATCCACAATATAACCTATTTTTTCTTTACTCCGATCATATTAGCTCACTTTGTTCCAAAAGACAATATTATTTTGACTTATGTATCATCTGATCCTCTAAAAATACAGATGTTTATTTATCTTTATAAAATTTTAGACTCCTAAATGAAAGAACATATATTTGCCTATTTAGTACTGTCTCAATTAATTTAATGTAATTATTTCCAATTACATCCATTTTCTTGCAAATGTTACCTCTACTTTCTTGTTATGAGTTTTAGAAAATTCCACTTAGCATATAAACCACAAAATTATTTTTATCTATCTCCTGTGTTCATGGTCATGTATGGGAGGATTATTTTTCAGTAGGAGACAATAGCCATAGTCAGCAATAAATTTAGTCATGTATTTGGGAGGTCATAATTGTTCAGTCTTCTAATCCTTTATGTACTTATTAATAAGGTATAGGAACGGAAATACAGAAAAATGAAAGGAAGATGCCCTAGGAATGTATAGCTTTCATTCCTTGTTATGTAACTTTAGTCAGTAGAGGATGAAAGGAAAAAACTAACTAGTATGAAAAATATGGTAAATTGGGTATCATCTAGAGAAGCCCTTAGAGATGCAGTGTGAACAGAGCATACATAGTTGAGATGATGCTAAGACAACCAGAATTCAGAGGGGCTCTTTGAAGACAGTTGGAGAGAAATCAGGAACCATTTAATACTTTTATCCTAAGACACTTTAGGTTTTTCAAAATATTTCACAATGCTAGGGAAATGTAGTCCCCTCACAACTGTGTTGTCTGGGAGAACTTTAAATGTTGCACTGTCAGAATTCTTTCCTTAAAAAACGCCTTACTGAGTGAGGTAAGCCAGACCCAAAAAGAGGAATATGGTATGTATTCACTCATATGTGGTTTCTAACCATAATTAAAGGTCTTTGAGCCTATTATTCGTTATCCTAGAGAAGCTAAATAAGAAGGTGAACCTGTTGAAAATCATGTAGCTATCTGCCTGGAGATTGGAAATAGACAAGAGTCCCAGGTAACCTCGGGTGCATGGTGGGGTGGGAGGGTTGTTGGAAGGGGAGAGGGTTAGAGAGAAGGGAGTAGTGGAGTAATGGGGAAAGGTAGGTGGACTGGGATGGGGGTAGGGAGGAAGGATGGATATGAGATTAGGGAAGAATATATCTCAACTAAGGGAGTCATTTTAGGGTTTACAGGAGACTTGATTATAAATGGGATCCCAGGTCCAAGGAGAGATCCCCAGACTGTTCTCTAGACAGAGGAGAAGGTGCCTGAACCGGCCTTGGCCTATAACCGTACTGATGAAGATTTTGCTTATCACCATAGATCCTTCATCTGATGATGGATGGCGATACAGATGGAGACCTACATTGGAGCACCGGACTGAGCCCCCCAAGGTCCAAATGAGGGGCAGAAAAAGGAAGAACATGAAAAAAAACTCAGGACCGCGAGGGGTGCGATCACACACTGATACAAGGGGACTGATCTAATGAGAGTTCACCAAGGCCAGTTGGACTGGGACTGAACGAGCATGTGATCCAACCAGATTTTCTGAATGTGGCCAGATCTCTGAATGTGGCTGGTCCGGAGCCTTTCTGAAAAGCCACTGACAATGACACTGGGACTTGTTTCCTCTGCATATGCTGGATTTTTGGGATCCAGTCTGTTCGGATACTCACCTTCAGGGACCTGGAAGGAGTGGGGAGGAACTTGAACTTCCCACAGGGCTGGAAGCCCTGACTGCTCTTAGGGATGAAGAGGGAGTAGGAGGGGGAGGGGGGAGTGGGAGGGTGTTGGGAGGAGGGGCGGAAATGAAAACTTTCATAATTTAATAAACTTTTAAAAAAAATCCAAAGAATTCCAAGTTTCGGGAATAGGTTGAATAAAAATTTGTGAAAAATGTCTCCCCTGGATTCTAATAACTAAGTATACATCGAAGTTTCCTAATGGCTAAATTAATTGTGAAATATGTTATTTACATGCCTAACTTTTGTTATTTGTCAAATATTTGGTGGGAATATGTTAATGGGATGAATAGATCTTTTTTAAATTAAATGAAGTACAGCAGTTGTGACCAATTGGCTTCTCAGATGGTTGCATAAAAGGAGTCAGTTTTTATTTTAAAAGAAAATAGTCATCATACCCAGCATGCATTCAAGAGAGGAAAACTTAAAGGAAGCTTCACAGCAAAGCATCATCCAACATCATCTCGGAAACAGATGTGATGGAAAGGGCTTAACAGTCTTTTTGCTTTAATATTTTGCACTTTACAATCTTGAGAGACATTTCAACCTTTTGAGCATTTTTGCCTGCGCAGCGGATCAAGTTATAAAATGCAAAATGGCGTTCCTCTTCTCTGTCTGACAACAAGGATACCAATCCAGACCAGGCAGGGTATTTCTCATTCCCTTCATCTTTACTTTGAACCTGATTATCAAAAGGAGAGTCAGCAATAAATTATATTTTAGTATTTTGGGATGCATAACTTTTGAATACTTGAGGAGAGTAAGGATTGCTAAACTCAGCCAAAACCTATGGATTTTCATGAGAAATGAACCAAGGTATCTAAAATATAAAAACTGATGTATGCGTTCTCTGCATGATGAAGTCTTACAGAAGTTAAATTGGCTGACAGGAAGTTACTTGATTTTTGGACATGGAATTGAGAAAAATACAAGGGAGGATACAATGTTCATTCAATCTCTTAAGTAATGTCACATGTCCTCAACATACTTCCTGACTTGTCCTTTATTTTTCTTAATAGGTTCTTATATTGAAACATTGTCCTTTTCTCTCTGTCTCTCCTTTTCTCTCTCTCTCTCTCTCTCTCTCTCTCTCTCTCTCTCTCTCTCTTTCTCTTCTTTATGAAATAAGGTTTCTCTGTAACTTTGGAGACTGTCCTGAAACTCTGTAGACCAGGCTAGCCTCAAACTCACAACCACCTGGCTATTCCTTTCTTATTTTCAACCAAATTAATACTTCATATAATGTCTACACCCCATACCTGAGAGTCAGTGACCCTTCCATCAAGGGATAACCATAATAAGAAATCTGCTCAAGTGCCTGAGTGACTGATTTCCTTACCACAAAGGGTTTCATCCCCATGTAAATGGTGAGCAGATGTTCTCTTTAGGTCCTCAGGATGTGGAGTTCTGAGTGAAACACCCCTCACAGAGTTGGAATTACCGGCCTCCTCGTAAATAACGTATCTATAACTTCAATGCCTAATGTTTTCTTTTGTAGAGACAATTTTCAAAACTGAATTCTCCTTGCCCTGGTCAACTCTTTTATTTAGAAGAAATGTAAAGAAGTGTAAAAGGACCGCTCACCTGGCTGAGAATGCTCCTAACCCCTGCCAGGAGTCCAGCGTTCTTTTTCTCAATCTCTCTGGCTTTGGAGAGGAGAGTAGTAGGGACATCTTTCAGAGTTGGCATTTCTCTTGATAGATAGTACAGAGGGACTTTCCAGGCATCCAGTAAGTTTTCCACTAACTTCAGTAGGATGACTGGCTAAGTAACCATATTTGAACAATCACATTAAAATATGAAAACCAACAGCATTAGACACAGACAGTTTTTTGCTCAAAAGGGGGAAATAAGCTTTCGTTGTTACTTGAGTGCATATTTAAAACACCCTTTTGTAAGGTATATAAAGGTATGAAATATTTCCATTGACCTTGTGGTTTAAAGCTTGGATGAATTTAATTCAGAAATTCCAGTAGAGCATTTTAAAGTTGTTAGCAAAGAAAAGAGAAAAAAAACTTTTATTAAATGCGTTCTCATCTCATCTCCACTTCCCCATTTTCCTTCATTAATTCGTCATTATTTTAGTAAGCGTTGTAGAGACACAGACTGTTTTAGCCATTAAGAAATACATGGAACATGCATTCTAAGTGTAAGCCTATACAATTGTGTAAGGATATAAAATAAAGTGCAATTTAAATTTCGTTGAGATCGCTTATGGCAGGAAATTAGAAGTGAGAGAGGGTAAAGATTAAGAATTAAAGGGGACATGCACGATATGGAGCCTTGGCAGCACGCAGTGGGGATGGGTATACATAGTGAAGCAGCTTCTTATGCTCACTGTATGCCTTTCTTTAGCTGACTTTCAGGTATGACAGTAAAGGCAGAACAATCAGTTAAGAATCAACACTTAGGACCAGAAACATAAGTAAAAGCTGTAGGTGCCAAAAAGAAATGTTGAATGAGTTAGTAGCATAGAGTAGTCAACACAGAGTCCATTACCAAGATATCACTACAGCCATATCGGCAATGAATAAGTTCACATTACTGCAGTTAACAATGAATGTCAATAATTAAAAATTTTCCAAGAATATGTAGATCTTGACGATTTGGCATTGAAAAAGGTCCCCTCCATAAATGGTTTATAGATCTGTTAAATTTTACTTGGCTGATTTTTCTTACAATTTAAATCTACATAGCAAAATTTATTTTTGTTTTTCATTCCCCGCCCATTTCTTGCAGATACAATTCTCATTCTAAATACGATATAAATAGCTTATAGTATGGCAAAGCCAGTGTATGGATTTGGTCAAAATCATACCAAAGTCAAAGGTAGGGAACTCACATGTGTCTTCAGAGCCTTACTCCTGGGTTTTGGAAGATCAAGCGAAGATGTGTGGCACTTTTTCAGGTTCTTGTTAATGAGCTGCTGTCTCTGGGCATACTGATTATCCTGGAAATGATAAAATATGTGACTACTTGGTGACTAAAAATTGTGTGAATGAATCAATGATCAAAACACACTAATGTACTTGATAGATGTTTCATTATTAAAATAAAATATAAATATAGTAAGGAAATGAGCCATTTAACTACATTTTACATTCAATCTGTAGTCTTAATATATATTCATAAAACTTTCAAATTTTCTAAACTTTCTGCTTCATACTATTCTCAGCAAAATATTCCTATTCAGCAAAATCCAGCAAGGCTACCAAGTACCAATTTTTAAAGTATAATTTGTAACAAATGTCATAGTAAACAGCTTTTATTTCAAACACTTTGGCATCTGCATAAGTATCCCTCATTCAGTTCACTAGGAATAACAAAAGGCTTTGTATTGATCATGACAAAATAAGTCTTAAACCCTATGCAGAATACACTAGGAAATATTAAGCTGTGAACCAGTTAAAATAGAAAATTAATTGATTTTTGTATGCTAATCAATATTTAATTATTTGGTATATACTTCTAAATCTTTATTGTGTAAAATATCTATTATTCAAAACTACTACTAATGACATACTTGGTAGTTTGAATGGATATTTAGGATGATTCTGAATGTCCTAGGTGACCTATTAGGAAATGTAAATGGCAGAAACAATAATATGTGAAATAAAGGTTTGGAATATATAGGCTTTGCAAGCACTGAGCCAACTTCTCACAAGTCCATCAATGCACAGAAGACACCATTGTGTCATCATTGGCTAGAATAGAACATCTACCATAAAGCCGTAAAGATGCTTTCATCATGAATGTCTGACCTATTTCTCTGAACCAGATCCCCTTGCTATTAAATCATTTATCTTGAATAGCTTGAAATTGTTAATAACATTTATTAATATGAAGATTGAATGTTAATTTTCTTTCTTTTTTGCATGACTTGGTTGGCCTCAGTGTCCTTAACTTCCTTTAATATTAGCAAGTCACTGCAATGCATTCTTCTTTATTAGATAATACAGAATCCAAAGGTGAGTAATGCAGGCAAACACTAGGCTACTAGATACAATGAGAAAGAATCAAATCTTTCCTCAGCCTGTCTTGTGTGTATTTATGTCACAGTAACGAATCAAAATAGAAGTTTAAAACTAGAGAAAACTAAGATTATATCTTAGCAAATATTTGACAATTCATGAGACTGCCCTATTTTCTGGTTCCACAACCTAGTAGCCTCCATTGTTTCTACCTATGAAGTTACAATGTTTGAAGTTTGAACTACGATGCTTTCCACATTAGACTATACTATAAATTAACCATTTCAATTTGGGAGCCGTTTGGTAAGAAGCTGGAAGTCAGGGGTAATACTTACGAATTCAGTGAACATTTCAAATGCTTCTTTGTTTATTTGCTCAGACAAGCTCACTGCTCGACCAATCATTTCTTCCAAAGAAGCAAAGCAACGCCCATTTCTCATTAAACATATGGGCACTGAGGCCACTTCTTCCCACAAAAGCAGGTTGGACATCAGTAGTAGAAGCAGTGGACCTGGTAAAAGAGCATAATGACTCTGAGATCTAATCTATCTGAGTTTGTCAAGAGAGGCATTATCAAACTAAGCCTTTGCTAATAGTGGCCTCCTTTGAACATACTGTTATGTTTAATTTTGTGGGAATAACAAACATTTTCCAATGTTGACATTCAATTAATGGATTATACTTGTTCATATTCATATTTTGTAACATGAGTGTCTCTTGGTAGTTCTTTATTACTCCTTGCATTGTTTTGGCAGTCTTCAAACTTTTGGAGTTCAAGGTAAGTGTGCCAGTGTGTGTTCACGTCATTCTCTTCAGACAGGTCAAGGTCTCCTGGTTCTCTGGTGATTTTTAGTAACATCACTCAAGAGTTTGTAATTCTTTTAATTGTTAATTCTATTTTATTCACAGCAGTTTTTATTTTATCTGTATGTGTATGGCATGTAGGGCTGGCAACTACAGCGGCCAGAAGAGGGATTAGATTTCCAGGGATTAAAGATATACACAGTTCTGAGCAGCCATGTTAGTAGTAGGAACCAAACCCAGGTCCTATTCAAAAAAAGCAATTGTTCTGATTCACTGAGTTATCATTCTAGGCTTCAAATTTTTAATTTTAGCTCAGTATCTAATATTAGGATTTTGGACATCAGTGTAAGAAGAACAGTTCTGGTTCTGTGTTTATTTTCATGACAAATAAGAATAAACTCATTATTGTTTATTTACAAATACGTATGATAAAGAGAATGACATTATTAAAATGAAGCCACATTGTGGAACTTCCAGCTCAGTGTTATAATGGCATGAGTTTCTTCTCTTACCAAAATGTTCCTACCTTTCTTCTGAATTTATGTTTTATACCAACCATAATGATAAAATAGATTACTTGCAGAAATTCTACATTTCATTGTCCCTACTCTCAGTAGCTTGGAGGAACGAACATAATAACAGTGGAGCTCTTGCACGGCCCCTGAGGCTTTGTGATTGTAGCAAGTTGTCAGCATTGTACACAACTGCCATATTCTCTTTATGATTTGATAATCAGGCATTAAGCAGTTGCCTTTATCTTCTTTATGGTCTTTGTGTATCACAATTATAAAATGTTTTGTGATAAGCAGAATTGGTGTCATAATCAATTCAATTTTTTTCATGAAATGTCAGTAAAGGGCCATAACATATTGATAAGTTATAATGTTAATTCTATGAATCAATATCAATGTCTAAAAATGGATTATTTATACACCTTCAGTGATACCAGTCTGAAAAACTCCTGACACTAAGAAGCTTTGATAAATGCAGTTGGAAATGTACAACAGAAATTTAGAAACTTAATAATATTTATACATTAAAAACACATAAACTGAATACTCAAAATAACTAAAATAACTAAAACAATCAAAATACTCTATGGTATACAAGAACCTTTAAAATAAAATAATTGTTTGGATAGTTTCTATTATGGAATAGAACTGTTCAAAAATCACAAAAGTTTTTCCAAATTTATTTTATGCATGAGAGATATTTATGTGTAAAATAAATAGAAACACATTTGTATAAGTTTATCATCTGAAGGATTTTAATAATCTAAGAGGAGTCAAAGGAGTTGTATTTTGCCTACAACTTCATAAAATTTCAAAGTTTGCTTTTGTGAAATTTTTGAATGCTAACAATTTGTTTAACTTGGGAATATAATCAAGAAGATAAAGGTAAATATTAGCAAAGTGTCTTTTGTAGTAAAGGGTACTTTTCTTGACTGAAATTCAAAGCTGTATAGAGCCACATCTGCTAGTTTTGTCTGCTGTGTCAATAAAACTGAAAATATGATTCAGTTCATTCAAGTCAAGCAAGACCCAGAAGACAGAATATGTTATATTCTTCCCATTGTAGTTGTAACAGATTGTACCCACTCTTGTTCTCTTATTCAGACTGAAAATGTTTGCAAGTTTGTCTTTATGAGAAGGATCAGTCCATGTTCTGGAACTCTCTTCACCACTCTTTGCTAAACAGCCTCATGGCTGGTCTCTACCACTAGACACAGATGCTTTTCCTCCCTTTTACTGAGGTCAACCAAGACGATGTAAAATGTCTGTAGCCATTGTTTAATGTCTCCAGGTAGGAAGATATCCCTTTGTTAATTATTTTTCTCTTACCAACTAACCTCTCTGCCAACTCAATAAGCCAAATCAAGCCAGATCAGATTGAATTATAAGATGCCCAATTTTAATGGATGGCAACACTCCCGGGTGGTTTTCTAGGAAAACACAGAAAGGGAAATAGAGAATCGAAAAGACCACAGAAAAGAGGAAGACTACCAGAGAGGGAAAAGGGGAGGCCTCATGTTCTATCTTTGGAGGGCAGTTTAAATAGCCTCTGGCGGTGGTCTTGATTTTCCCTGGGGAGGGGTCACCAGTTGGCTGGCTTTCTTGGAGGTGGAGTCTGGACTGTGGCCACTCCCAGGGGAGCAGGTTTGGAATGGAGTTTTCCACCCAACATTTTAAGATGGTTTCCAAGGGGCTGGGGTGAGGCCCTCCCAACTAAACACCCTTCAGAATCAATGATACAATGGTGCATTGTGTAGTTGTTTCCTAGAGAAATAGTTGGGAAAGTTTTCTCAGACCCTTCTTACTTCCCTGTGTAAGGCATGAACACATTCCCATTCACTGAACATATGAGAAAACAACAACAACAATAACAACAACAACAACAACAACACACACACACAGACACACAGACACACAGACACACACACACACACACACACACACAGGCACACCAAAAACAAAAGGACCAAGCCCAGCAACAACAACAGCAAACCGGTTCTAACCAGTTCCACTTGTAGGGGGGCGCCGCCCCCCCCCCCCCCCCCCCCCGGGGGAGCAGAGAAAAATGTAGAGCTCAATAAAAGTCAACAATGAAAAAAAAGGCAATGTTTATGGTCAACTAGAGGAATTCCAGAGAAGAGTTACTGACAAGAGCATAGTTGAATTAAGACAGCTAGAATTTATACCTCTAAAGAATCTCATTAAAATTTGGGAACCATAACACCATGCGCCATATGAGAACAATAACACCAAAAAAAAAAGGGGAAAGAAAGAAGGAAAGAAAGAAAGAAAGAAAGAAAGAAAGAAAGAAAGAAAGAAAGGAAGGAAGGAAGAAAGGAAGGAAGGAAGGAAAAGAAAACTACTGCTCAGACCAGTTTTGTAAAACAAAGTAATGGGCAAGGTTGTAGTTGGAAAGATTAGTTTAGTGACCCGTAACTTACAGAGGCACGGATGAGTTAAAGACAGCTGCATCTCTGAGGAGTTCCAGAGCAGCACAGCAACTGACTCAAGAGATCCGCTTCACAACAAACAAACCTTAAGTTAATTTTTCCTCTTATATAGTGTTTCACACCATCCCCAAGGCCATATATTGCCAGGAGCAGAGGAAGTAATATGCAAATCCAAGTTGAGGAGACCTCGACAGCCCTCAGGGGTTGTTTACAACCTAATTGTCATGATGATTAACCTATCTTTAACTCCTAGTTTACTTTATTCTAAGCATGGGATTAGAGCCCAAATTGCATTGTAAACCACAACAGTAAACTCTGCTCCATGAAGACGCGGGTGTTTCTTACTGTACCCAAAGAATTCATTATTTTCTTTATGTTCTTAGATATTTTAGTTACTACTTCTGAAATTTTCATTGACTACTGGATGTGTCAAAATATTGATTTCATTGTTTTTGGAGCATTGGGAAGAAGGTCAAAAAAGGGTTAGAAATTTTGAGCAATTTAACCTTGTGAATCTTTTCCAATATCTATGGAACACAGTATACCATTTGCCTTAATATAGTATGCACATAAGATCATAGTTTAGGGCCAGATAAAAATGTTTAGAGGGGTTTTTGGTAGGAAATCACATTCATTATAGAAAAAAAAACCCACACACATTATAGTTGGAGCCTACAATATCCCCATTCACAGACTTTTAGCCAAATACACGGTAAGCAAACATGGGTTATATCCATGGAACTTGCCTTAAATACGAACACATTTGTCTGTGTTTATAATGGGTGTACCACTATGAGATGAATCTATACATCCTTCTTGGCTTGAAAATTTCATTAATTTTGTTTGAATAGTTTCCTTAGTTACATTTCCTGGCAGTAACTATTGTACTTATATCTGGTCCTACGAAGTCAAATTAGATCTTCTGTCATACTTCAAGCATCATGACTTGTGACATCTCATTCTATAGTCTCTTATATTTAGTACTGTTTACATATAATCCTCTGACAATTTATTACATATGTAGTCAATAGGGCATCATTGTTGTATAGTTTAAAAGTAGCTAATAACTGGACCTTGGGATATATCAGTAACCTGTGGTTTTACTTACAATCTAACCATCGCAGGTTCTGAATTAACTGCGGGCTTTGCTTGCAGATGGTCTTTGAAATCTTTGTAGTACTAGATTATATCTTTGTGCAGTCAAACCCTTTCTGAGGTTACAGAGTCATCAAAGGTCTGGTATTCTCTGTCACAAACAAATGCAAGTTGAAATGATTTCAGCATATACAACGATCATTGAAAATAAAAAGTTATTTTTGTTCTTTTAAAAGAATATGATATAATGGCCCCGGCGGCCTGCAAGCCAGGCAGAAGCTGCCGCCAGAGCAGTACAGGGTCCCTGGGCAAGTAGCAGAGTCAGGTGGCTGGATACGGTGAACGGCAGAGTAAATGGACATAAGGCTATACATAAAGCTAGACATTTATTACTTAAAAAGGGAGCTATAGACAAACATAAAACAAAGACACACACACATACACACACACACACTCACACACGCATGCGCGCGCATGCGCGCAAGAGAGAGAGAGAGAGAGAGAGAGAGAGAGGGGATGGCGGTGAGGGAGGGCCGAAGTGGCTGAGGTGGGCGTGGTTAGTTCTTAAAGTGATAGCAAAGAATAACATTCCCGGATCCTTTTTATAATAAAAAGTAGAAGATTAGACATTACAGGTTGAAGGAATTGGGGCGGCGAATTCTCAAGACTGCTTCCAGCTGATTTGTGGGCGTCGTCTTTGGGGTGGTGTGGGGGTGAAAAAGATCCGAGAGAAGCTGGGTGCTGGTCCCATCTTGGCATAGCTGGTCTCTGTTTCCGACAGGACAGGTGTCTGTGGCATGGAAATGTCTGGTGTCTCTTGTACCTGGTTAGGGTGTTGGCAGAACAGAGAACAAAGTTAAATTGAGAAAAAAAAAATTTTTAGGACCAGGGAATTGAGAGGTTTGTATCTGATCTGTTTACGGTGGGTTTTTAAATTTTGCTCCCTGGAACTTATAAGAAAAACAGAAGCTTTAGACATATATATTATATTAAGAACTCCTTGGGTTTGTAAAAACAGAAATTATAATGAAAAGTATTTTTATTTGGTGAGACAACCTGGCAAAACCTCTCAGCTATCAGACTGTCAGAGATCTTTGAGAAGGATAAGATTTTACTTGAGTTACTGATTAAAAAATGACAGAGAACTTACTTGGTTGGCACCCAGAGCTACTCTTTGGTCCTCCTTGGTTGCTGAAGGTTGCATTTGACCTTTGTTGTTTAGTGCAGAGCTGCCAGGCTTTTGAAGACTCTGTGGACCAAGAAATCTTTAGGAAGACAGGTCTACCTTACCTGTGCAGCTAGACTGTCGATTCCAGTGATCCTGTCCACATTTGGAGGTCTCCAGTTTAGGTGATAGGCAGTTTTTGCCCAATGGTCAGCACTAGGCAGTCGAAGCAAACTGCAGATGGATGCTGGTCAGTGATGCAGATGGATGCTGGTCAGTGATGTGACCGTCTGTCTTTTGTCTTCTTGAAGGAAACAGAGTGCTTGCTAGGAGCCAACCTGTCTCTTTTGGTTATGAAAAGTTTTTTAAATAATTAAACATTTAAATATCACATTCCCCAGATCTCTGAGCAGTTGAGGGCTGATTATTAGGTATAGTTGTAGTATAGAATCTGTTTGGAAGATTGGGTTTGAGTTTGACTGTATTGACTCTTAATAAGTAAGATCCACATTTGTAAAAAGACAGACAGAAAGAAAAAAAACTGTTTGTAACATTATGATTAGTGGCAGAACTGACAATGGAAAAAAACAGCTTAAAAGTACATACCAGTTTATGATTTTGTAGTCTGAAACGAGATGAAATGAACAATCATTATACATAGAGAACAGGAATTAGGCAAAGTGTATGTTTCTAATGGGCCCTATCAGAAAGCATGTCACTATGTAATTACAGCTAAGGAGAGATTTCAGTGAACACTGAGGAGGGGGAGGGGAAAGCAGGACATACATAACAGTGGGAGGGCCTGGTCGCGTGATCTGGCTCTCAGTGAATCTAGCAATAAAGTCACCTGACCCCAATGAACATGGCGGCGGCCACGTGTTGCAAGGGAAAAGTTAGTTTGTTGTTGAGCTGCCATGCCGAACCATAAGCGGCAGAGGGGAGCAAAAGTCTGGAACCGGAAAAAAAAAACTGCACCAGGTCACGGCTGGGATGGAAAAGCCCGCGACTGTCTGCCATGGACAATTGTTATCCAGAGTCTGAATCGTGAAACCCTCGCAACGAACGCACCCAAGACTACGTGAATGAGCATCCTCAAGTCACGGGTGGGGAGCTATGGACCTAGCTGGATAAACCAGAGGCCGGGGCCACTCCTGGAGACGACGAGAGGAGAGAAAAAGTAAAGAAAAGAAGTGAAAATGAAAAAAGATAAAGAAACTGAGGACCCGGTTCCCAGACGAATGTCGAATGCACAGCACGGGAATGCAGTGCTAATGCAGGCGGACCAACCCCCGGGGTCGTCCAAACACGATTCCAGGAAAGGAAAGCAACCTTCTGTAGCAGAACAAGGAGCGACTCACCAAGTGAAGACGGTATTGGTTGTAACAGGTGGGTCGGTGTTGAGACCTCGGTTCCGATTCAGTCCCGGAAGTTGGTGGTCAGGGTCCCGTGGAACTCTGGCCTTTGGCAGGTGAATCTCTCGAGTCTGCGGCACCAAATTTTGTTCTTTTATGATAAATATGATGATGGAAAGTCCTGGGCGTCTCACAGAGTCTGGCAAGGATGGCCGTGAGTTCCTGCAGTGCCATGCGGCCGGGGGGAGTCAGGCGGGCGGTTACGGCGGATAAAAGGCTCACAAGACATAGTAAATAAACATAAGGGTAAACATTTATTACTTAAAAAGAAATAAAAAAAAGAGACAGAAATAGACAAATATAAAGACATAAAGACACAGAGACAGAGAAAAACGTGTGCACACGACAGGAGACAACCACACAAGAGAGAAAGATGGCGAAGGGGGAGGTCAGAGGTGACTGGGTGGGCGTGGTTAGTTCTTAAAGTGTACCAATGGAATAACAGTTATTACATTATAAAATATAATGAAAGATCTTATTTGTCTTGATTCCTCCAGAGAGTGAGATGTGGGCAGCAAGATATACCCCAGTGAGTGCTTTATATGGCTGTGGATAATATGCCATATTCCTTCTTTCTGCAAGGGAATGTTTCAGTTTTGATATTGTACTAATTCAACAATGAGTATCTCACAATCAAGAAATTTCCTCGAGTAGAGATAATGGATGACTGAGCCGTGCTGAAGTGCTGATTCACTATGGGAATTCATGAATGGGCCCAATGAGTCATGTGCTACGACGAGGTATTAGCCATGCAAAAAGGGACAGAAAACTATTGCATGAAATGTTAAAGTTATGTGTCACGTTGACAGGGGTTAGAACTGAGATTGTTAGTATAGATTGGCAGCTTGATATAAGGTCTAGAATCCACTAAGAGACAAACCTCTGGGTATTTCTCTGAGGAAGAGTCTGTATCTTGGTACTTTCGGTGAGAGGACCGATTTATGGGTAGTACCACTCCGTGGGCTGTGCCTCAGATGGAATGAAGAGGACAATGGAAGTGCAGGAACAGTGCTGTGCCTGCAGCTTCCTGGTGGTGGGAGCAATTAAGTCCCACCTGTGTCATCTGCCCTGTTATGATGCAATCCTACTGCAATATCAGCCACAACTGACTAGACCACATCAAAATTGCTTTTAGCAGATCACCAAAATAATGGAATCTGTTCAAGTATAATCACCCACTAAGCATGAGTCTTCATCATCTTGAGGCTCTTTCCAGAACGCCTGGGACTTTGGCATAGGCAGCTTGAAGTACTTGTGCTCACCAGGGGTATTACTTGAGTTGGCCTTGAGAATGACCAGGCACATTCTTGTTTACAGATCCTTGCCATTTCACCTGGCTACTTGTGTCAG